GATTTGGGTTTGGTTTTATTTTTTTTTTTTCAGGATGCTCTCAAGGTGGGAAATGCCTCATCCTGGGAGCAGCTGCTTGACCCCCTCCAAAAAAAATTCCTGGTGTGCCTGGCTCCACTGAGCACCTGCCCAGGAGAAACTGCACGTGGGGCAGTGGGAGTTGGCAGTGTTTCCCTGTCCTCCGAAGATGTTCTGCATCAGCGGGAGGACACCTGAAAATCCTGCTAACGCTCAGTGTGGGCCTGGGTAGCTGAGTGGCTTGAGCAGATTTGGGGTGAGAAAAGTGTTTTTTCCCCTCATCCATGGGGTCCCAGGGTGGGGATGCTCCTGGGGATACCGATGGTGGTTGGGGACGAGCCCTCCTCTGCCCTGTTTTCCCCCAATTTTGCTGCCTCCCTGAATTATATGTTTCCCTCCCCCCGGCCTGCTTTAGCCTTTTGGGTACTAATGTCGGTGTCCAAAGGTGTCCCGGGTGAATAAATCAGGTGAGATCACAGAACCTCAGTGGCCTCTAGTGGCTGTGGGACAAAGAGCCCAGCCATGGGGGACCTGCATCCCCCCCAAAATCCCCCGGACAAGCAGTGGGTCAGGTCCACACTGAAAGATGCCCTTCTTCCAGAGTGAAACCCAAAAGCATAGGGAAATTAAGAAAAAAAAAAATAAAAAATAAGAAGCCCCGAGTCCCCAGTTGATGGAGGAGCACCCATCAGGAGGGTGCTGCACCCCAAATGCCCCTTGGCCAGCCCCATCGCCTGGCAGGGATGGGCACAGAGATCTCGAGCATGGGAGCAGGCAGCTGCTGGTTTTTTGTTTTTTGTTTTTTTTTTTTTTCATTCCTGCACGGGGGAAAAAAATGGAGTTTTTTCTGCAGGGTAAGATTTCTTTCATGTTTTTATCCATTTTCCATTTTGCTAAAGAGTATTTTATGTTGGTAACACCACAATATAAAACATTATTCACACGTGGTTGAAAACAGTAGCAGTCTTGAGCGAATGGATCAAAAGCGGTTTGACACCATTAAAATGACCATCTTCATATCTTCCCCCACCGAAGGTCACTAAAACTGCCCCCTTCTGCGTAATTGTGATTTTTTTTTTTTTTTCTCTAAGAAGAAAAGTAGAAAAACTGATCCCATTTTCTTCCCCAAAACTGTGGGATTTGGGGGCAGGATGGAGCATCCCTGCCCTGGACACATGGCTCTGCAGCCCCCCATCCCACGCTGTCCCTCCTCACTCCCCCCATGATAAATAAATCACTTTGCAGGGGAGCGCTGGCCTAGTTTAACATGCCCTAGTTCTGGTGGAGAAAAAAAAAAAAAAAAAAAAAGAATATTTATTTTGGGCAGTTGCTACATGGGTGTCCTTTTGGGGGAAGCGCTTTAGGGGGTTCGCCCACTGCCCCATGCTCTGCTTCGCCCTGGCTGCAACCCACTGCTCTTGAGCTTTTTGGGGTGTTTTTCTGTGGGTTATTGCAAACTGCTCCGCGGACATGGGAAAGGAGTGGTGGGGACACTGACACAGCCCCAGAATGGGCATCCACTTCGCCGAGCTCCCCGGGGCTGGTGTCATCCCCGGGGGGGGGCTTACTTGTTGCAAAGTGCTGACACTGCAATTACTGTGGGGATTTAAAGCCTGCAGAAAATGAGCGGCTTTAGAGATGGATAAAAATACCCACCTGGCTCTTGGGCGTAAGGGGCTGGGGCTGGCTTTGCTGGGGGAGCAAATATTTTAGCAGCTTCCCTCAGTGCCAAAATCTCCGGAGAAATGGGATTAAAGTGCCTTTGGGAGTAGGATCTTGAAAGTGCTCTGGGTGCCACCGGGACCTTTGCACCTCACTCATCCCTCCAGCACCCTGCTTCTTCCAAAGGTGCCGAGTTTCCTCTGGTAAATAAACCTGCAAATGGCTCTTTTATTATTTTTTTTTTTGTCCTCTGTGGTTTTTTTGTTTTTTTTTTTTTTTTTTTCCCCAACACTGCCAAAACAAGCAGCCCATATGGGCCAGGGTTGGGTGGGTTTTTTTGTCAGTTTCCATGGGGATTTGGCGCTGGAGCTGCTGGGTGCTGGCTCCTTGGGGTTTTTTTTTCTCTCCGGCCCCCGTAACCGGAGCCTGGCAGTGGCACCCGGCTCCCTGCCCGGCCCCGGCATCTCCTGGCCAAGGTCACCGGGGAGACCGTAGGCAGGCGGCCGCCTGCGTTGGGCCATCTGTTAAATAATGTATGCAATAAACTCCTGCCCCGTGGCCAGCTTAATCCTTAAATCCTCCTTCAGAATATCACCTCCTGGCGATGCGTGGCCAGGGGATCCCCGGCTCGGCCTCTTGGGCACATCTTTCCCCACCATCCATCCTGCATTCCTCTCTTCTCACCCCTCCATCCCGCATCCTCCCCGTAAGCGAGCTTGCTGGCGTGCTGGGCTCTCCTGCTCCATTATTTATGTGCTGTGCATGAAAGATGCATATAAAAGAGCGGTTTATAATTTAGCAGAATCTCCTCTTCTTTCAGTTTCCCTTCCCCCTCGGGCTTCAGGCTTGCTCTGGTTCATCCCCGGCTTCTCCCAGGCACCGAGGGGGTTTGGGGGGCTCCAGGGGCCGTGCACGGACCCCATCCCCGCAGCACCCAATCTGGCACATCTGGGATTTGGAGGGGGGGTTGGGTGCTCAGATTTTTTTTTTTTGACGCATGGGACAAAGTGGGAAATTGGGTCTGGCAGACCCAGAGATCAGGCTTTAGTACAAAACAGGGGCTTTCTTGGTAAACCTAATTAACCAAGTGCCGAATCCAGCCCGTGGTTATGTGTTTTGTGAGCCCCCCCAAGCGCTGCTGCCTCCGCAGATGTGGGATGCTCGGCTCCTCTGCGAGCTGCGCCTGCTCTCCCCAAAGCCATGGGCTTGCACCCGGATGCTGCCTGGGACAAAACCCATTAGATTGGGGGGAAATAAAATCCCTCTGGTGGGCCCATCTCATGCTTTGCAGGTGCATCAGGTCACCCAGAATAGAAAATCCTGAGGCCCAAGGTGTCCACTGAGTCCCACCCGTGTGGCTGCGCCCCTGGAACTGAACCCGCTGGGGAAAATAATTGGGGATTTTTCAAGGGAGTGCTTTAGTGAAATCTGCCCATCCCACCCTGGACCCACGAGAGCCTGTGTGCATTAAGAACAGAGAAATAAGTAGTGAAGGTGCTGGGGAGGGGAGCGCCGTGCAGGCTTTTGCAGCCTTGGCACCCCGAAAATGGGGTGTTTGGGCAGCACTGTCACCCTGTCCCACCCCAAAGTAATCAGCCTGTTCCCCCCGCCGCGGCCATCACAGAGCAGCACCAGCCCTGCTCAGCGGCATGCTGCTTTTATTGCAATATATTATTTTCTTTGCAATAAAACCCCGTCCCTGGGACCCATTTCCCCTGGCGTGATCATATTTTTATTCCCCCAGCACAAAGGTTTGCTCGTGGCCTCGGTCATGCAGGTGGGAGCGATAACGGCTCTTATTAACGCTGCCCCGCTCCCGGGCAATGATTAACGACGGCGTTCACAGGGAATCAGCCAGGATTTGGGGTTTGGAGGGGAAGAAGGGAGGAAACACTGGGATGAAACCCCCCATCTTCCACAGGCTTCCCCAGCAGCCAAAGGGACCGGTGCCTTTTTGGGTCCCCATCCCCAGCAGCCGCTTTTGGGACCTCGCGTTGAATTTTCCCCTGAAATTTGTGCCACGGAGGCGTTTTCCCATCAAACCAACGAACAAAATCCTATAAATAAGTATTAATGAGAATTAATTATTCAGGGCGCAGCACGACCCCGGTGGCGGGGGGGACGTGTCAGAGGGCGGCGAGGTTTCCCGCGGTTATTTTGGGCATTATTTAGGTGGGTGGGGAGGGATGCTCGCGGCGCTGGGCCCCGGCAGCACGCGGGAAAGCATGGCAGATGCGCATTTTTTTTTTTTTTCCCATTTTGTTTCATTTTCCTTTTTATTTGGACATTGCAGAAATAGCCCTGTGTAGTGGATAAAAGTGCAACATACACAATATTTAAGAAAAGGAGGAAAGAAAACCTGCCTTGAGGTCTGTCAGTCAGTCGCAAACAGAAACAAGAAACGAAGCCCTCGCGCAAGAGGTGCTTTTTTTTTTTTCCCTTTTTTTTTTTTTTTATGCACGTCATGCAAAATAGTTAAAAAGAAAGATTAGAAAAGAGAAGTCAAAGAAAACCCCACGAGAGATCGACCGAGCCCTAGAAAGAGCGGAAAGCCCCGAGTGCTGCTTGACTCGGGGAGGGAATCACTGCCCTCCGGCATCTCCAAGTGTTTGGCACTCTTGTGATTACATTAGATTTTTTTATATATATATATTTTTTTAATACAGTCTATTAAAGAGAGGAAACTGCCACAATATAAGAAAAAAAAAAAAAAAAAACAAGATCACCCACACTACAGACTGCATGGTAGTTAGAAAAGCCGAGCGTCCCCCCGCCCCCCCATACATATAAAATCTGTCCCTTTGCTTACAGCAACCAAGAAGTACAAGCTTTAAAAAATAAACCAGCAATTCTTCCTCTAGGCCCTTCCTTTATAAAAGTTGTGTTTTTCCCCTCGAGAACCTTAAAACATGACTGAAATGAAATATATATATATATATTTTATATCATTTTCCAACATCCAAAGACATCAACATAAAAAAATCATAAGGAAAGGGATAGCATGGTACATCCAAGTGCACGGATTCATTTTTGCAAGATTAAATAATGTAAACAAGGTGCCCGCTGGGAACAACCCTGGCCGGGGGGAGACCCCGGGGGCCGGCCCCCCCCCCCCCCCCCCCCCATCTTTCGCTGCCCCTTTTCCTCTTACCCCCCGGTCTAACGTGACGCAAGGTTCATCGGACCGTGAAAAGAAATCACGAGTAATTCAGCCCCGCGGCGTGACGCCTCCGTTCATCCCTCGCGTCGGTGGGTTGGGGCGGGGGGGTTGAGGTGGGTGATTATTTTTCCAATTATTACTTTTTTTCTTTTTTTTTTTCTTTTTTTTTTTTTTTTTTTAATTTATTACGATTCCTATTATTTTTATTTGTCGTCGGGCTGCGTCTCGCTCGCCGCCCTCCCCTCTGCGCGTCTCCCGGCGGGCCGGCCGTGCTGCTGTGCGGTGGGGGATTGCGGGCTGGCGAGGACGGCTCTCCAAGTGCTTGCTCGGCGCGGTCGCTGCGGTGGGGGGGGGGGGGGGGCTTTTATTTTTTGCCAATAACCTGTGCCATTGTAAACCGATCCTGCCCCCCCCCCCCCCCCCCGGCTCCCCGGCCCCCTCCCTGGCTTCAGCCGAGCGTCCCCGGGGAGGCTTTAAACACCGGGAGGGGCCTTTTCCGAGAGATTTTGCAGCACATCATCAATTCTATCATCTTCAATAACCACTGGAAAGCAGAAAAAAAAAACAAAAACAACAAAAAAAAAAATAAAACCAACATAACTGTGATGAATACTCTGCTGCTGTGCTCCCCTCGCCCAAGGTCACCCCGAGGTGGGTCTGGGGGGGTCCCTGCATCCCTGGGGTGGCCGATAGCCCCCGGGGTGCCCGCTGCACCGTGCCCTGTCCCTGGGGAGGGTCCCTACGCCCCAGCAAAGGGCCTGGGGCACAGTGCCTTGTCCCCAAGGTAGGTCCCTTCACCCCGGGGACAGTCCCTGGTGCATGATGTCCTGTCTCTGGAGAGGGTCCTTTCGCCCCTAAACCCCGGAGATGGTCCCCAGGACAAGGTCCCTTCACCCCTACACCCCCAGGGAGTCCCCAGGGCGTGATGTCCTGTCCCAGGGGAAGGTCCCTTCACCCCTAAACCCCAGGGACAGTCCCCGGGGCACGATGTCCCGTCCCTGGGGGAAGGTCCCTGCTGCCCTACACCCCGGGGACGTCCCCCAGGACACGATGCCCGACACCCCCAGGGGATCCCCGGTGCACCGTGCCCTGTCCCCGGCGATGCTCCCCGGCGCCCTGCATCCCAAAAAGGCGCTCGGCGCTCCATCCCCTGGCGAAGGTCCCCGGGACACGACGCTGTCCCCGCGGGGAGCCCGGTCCCCCAGCGGGGACCCCCCCCACACACACACGCAATTTGCCGGTGCCCTGCATCCCGGGAAGGTCCCGGTGCACCCCCTCCACCCCCCCCACCGCCCCCCCCCCCCCCTCCCCGGCACCCACCTCTCTTGCTGCGGCCGATCTGCCCCAGTTTGGGGGGGCCGTTTGCCTTGCCCACCGGCGAGGAGGCCGTCGGGGCCGCGGAGGCGAACGGGGAAGGGCAGCTGCCCCACGGCCGCGTCCCCCGCCAGCTGCCCCTCGCCGTAGGGCGGCCCCTCCGACATGGGGGCGGCGGGGGGGGGCCCGCCGCCGCCGCCGCCCCCCGACAGCCTCCCGGGGGCGCGGGGCCCGCGGGCCCGGGGCAGCGGGCGCAGCGAGGCGCGGAGCGGCCGCCCCGTCACATCCCGGCCCGGCCCGGCGCTGCTGGCGGCTCCGCGGCTGCGGCGGCGGCTCCGGCGGCGGCGGCGATAGAGGAGCGGGAGGCGGGGACCGGGCGGGACGGGGCGGGAGCGGCACGGCCCCCCTCCATCGCCCCGGCAAGCGGCACCGCCCCCGGCGGGGCTGCCCCCCCCCCCCCCCCCCCCGCCGCACCCCGGGGGATCCCCGGGGCTGCCCCACCGGCGTGTCCCGCGGAGCCCGGACCCGCGGCGGATCTGCCCCGCAGCAGTCCCGGGGAGCCCGGAGCTGCCCCGCAGCAGCCCTGGGGAGCCTGGAGCTGCCCCACAGCCACATCTGGGGGGCACGGAGCCGCCCCACAGCATTCCCCGCGTGCCCCGAGCTGCCCCACAGTATCTCTGGGGAGCCTGGAGCTGCCCTAAAGCAACCCCCAGCGAGCCCAGGCTGCCCCACAGCCACTCCTGGGGAGCCTGGAGCTGCCCCACAGCAGTCCCGGGGAGCCCAAGCTGCCCCACAGCAGCCCTGGGGAGCCTGGAGCTGCCCCACAGCCACATCTGGGGAGCACGGAGCTGCCCCCCAGCATCCCCCGGGTGCCCTGAGCTGCCCCACAGTATCTCTGGGGAGCCTGGAGCTGCCCTAAAGCAACCCCCAGCGAGCCCAGGCTGCCCCACAGCCACTCCTGGGGAGCCTGGAGCTGCCCCACAGCAGTCCCGGGGAGCCCAAGCTGCCCCACAGCAGCCCTGGGGAGCCTGGAGCTGCCCCGCAGCCACATCTGGGGAGCACAGAGCTGCCCCACAGCATCCCCCGCGTGCCCCGAGCTGCCCCACAGTATCCCTGGGGAAGCCAGAGGAACCTTACAGCAACCCCCCAGCAAGACCAGGCTGCCCCACAGCACTTCTGAGGAGACCCAAGCTGCCCCAGAGCAACCCCAAGGAGCCCAGAGATGCCCCACAGTATCCATGTACAGCCTGGAGGTGCCCTAAAGCAACCGCCAGTGAGACCAGGCTGCCCCACAGCTGCATTTGGGGAGCCCAGGCTCCCCCACAGCCACTCCTGGGGAGCCCAGGCTGCCCCACAGCAGCCCTGGGGAGCCCAGTGCCTGTCCCCCGGGAGCACAGGCTCAGCCCCACATCAGGCCTGCAGAGCCCATCAGAAAGGAGCCGGGGGGGGTGTGTGTGTGTGTGTGTCAGTCTGGGCCCACTTGGCTGTGGGTCCCCAGGCCCCCTCAAGAGCCTTTCCCAGGGGACTGCAGGGGGGCTTTTGGGTTGCTGTGAGATTTCCATGGGGTTTTTCCCACAGTGTTGCCTCAGCAGCACGAGTCATCGGGGTTATTGCCCGGCGAAGCGAGCCAGCCCGGCCAAGGAGAGATGGGAAAGCTGGGGCTACTGTTTTGGGGAACACCACAGCTATGTGTGGGGGGGTGTTGGGTATTCCTGGTCCATCCCTTGCAAAGTAGATTGGGGGGAGAGTGGGATTGGGAGCAAAAAAAAAATAAAATAAAAATGTTTGCACAAGGCTGGGTTACAACATCTCCGCCAGCGGATTTTTCCAGCAGCAGGAGCCCAGCTGGTTTTGGGGCCGGGCGGGACGGGGGCACGGGAAGGACAGGGCACCCTGTGAGGCCGGGGCGCGCTGCCCCGGGGCTGCTCCCATCTCCAAACCTCTCCTTTGCTGAAATCAGCTCCCGGCACCGCGCGAGCCCCTCTCCCGCGCACCCCCGCACGCCCCCGAGCTGTCAGCTCCTTACATAAGGTTGCGTCTACGCCCGAGATATCACGGGGGAAAGCTTGAAAACAGGAGGCGAAAGGTAACGGGGAAAGCACAGCCTCCCCCCACCCCACCCCCGAAAAAAAAAAAAAAAAATTGTATTTTTAGGCTTCTCGTGACGGCTCCATTCCCTGGGCTCGAGGCCGCATCCTGCACCGTGACCTCCCTGCTGCCCCCGTCGAGGGGACGAGGCTTTTTGGGGTGGTTGGTCCCCAGGAAACTGCAGCCAGGGAGGGAAAGGCAAAGCTTTCATAAGGCACAGGGAGAAAAAAAAACAAACCAAAAAAAAAAAAAAAAAAGAAACAAAAAGAAGAAGTCTTCCTGTATGATTTTTACAGCAGAAAATTGCTTTTGAGAAAAGGAGTCAGGGGTCTCAGCTGGTCCATTCTTAAATCCACACTCTCGGGAAGGTGGCAGCGGTTGGTGTGTGATTTGGCAGAGCCGATCCCTCGGGGAAAGTCTTGGAGGTTTCGGTTTTATTCATTTCTCTTTTTCCCCGGTGCACTTTGAGCTGCTGCTAAAAGGAGATATTTTTTTTATCTTCTGGCAGCAGCAGAAGGGCGCAAAGGGCAAGGCAGGGCGATAACCGCGGGGAGAGGAGGGATGTCTCCGCCAGCGAGCTGGATTCTGGCTTTTCCCACCGGGATTCTGGTTTTTCCCCCCGGGATTTTGGCTTTTCCCGCTGGCAGGCAGCCTGGCTGCGGCGGGCAGCCACCGCCATCTACAGCCGGCGCCGGGCTGGACGCGGCCCCGCGGCGGAATTAAACCGGTGGGTTTTGTGCCCCACACCCGAGGCGGCCTCCGGACACCGCCCCGCCGCTCTAGTTAACGTTTAACAAGGAAATAACCCGTTCCTTTGTTAAATTCACCAGTTTTCCATAGAAAATCTTTTCTTTTTCAACGCGCCAGGGCCCGGGGAGCCCTCAGGGAGACGCGAGTGGCTCTGCCTGCCCGCAGGCAGGAGGTGGAGCGGAGGGTTTTCCCCCAAATCCCAGGGGTGCGACTGTTCCTGCTCCAGGCTCCCCAACCAGGGGCTCCCCCCCCCCCCCACTCCCCTCAGCGTTTCTCTAATTAAAAACTCCCGCCCTCCCCAGCAAATGTTAATTAAACCGTTGCTTCAGGTTTGTTAACCCTCTCGGTGACAGCACGTGATTTATGGTAAAATGGGGGAGTTGGGGAAGGGGATTTTCCTTTTCTGTGTGGAGGTTTGGGGGGTTTGGCACCGGCTGAGTTGGGGACAAGGGGATGGGGTGAGCGGTGCCGGATCTGCACAGAGGGACGGGATCCCACCCCACGTGCCACCGGTGGTTACCACGAAGCACCAACACCCCGGGGGAGCACCTCACCCCCGTCAGGCTCACGCAATGATCCCACACAAACGCACTTTTTGTCCTGTTTTATTACTTTTACATCCCATTTTCTATCCCCGCTCAAGCAAGCGCAGCAATCAGCCATGGTGTTTTCACCTCCCCCCGTCCCGGTGTGATACGGTCACAACCTGATTTTGTGGATGATCACAAAATTATCTGTGTTCACGCCCAAAAGCCCACCCTGCTCCCTTTGGCCCCGCAGCCAGGACTGCCTGAATTCTGCAGCCTCAGAGAAGCCGTAACACATCTTTTTTTTTATTTTCTCACAACATTTTTTTATACGCTGGGTATTTCATTAAATCACGATGCAAACGCTGAGAGTCCGATGCTTAAGAGAGGAGCTTGAAACTGCATCTCCCAGCCGAGCGCTTTGAGCTCTTTGTGAGGGCTCCTTGTCTCCTGCCCCCAAAACCTCCGGAGCACAACAGGAACCCTGATCAGCTGGATCATCACCTTTTAAGACGCGGCTCTGCGCCCCAATCGAAGCACCCCGCTCACTCAAGCTCCCTCCCCTTCCCCAAAATCAACCACTCAAGCAGCGAGGTGAGAAAACCCCTTTGGAAGAGGCAGCTTTAATGCCAAAAGCTCCCTCTCCAGCCCCTGAAATTTAACTGTTGTATAAGGGCACCACCCTGGTGACGGCCTGCCGGCAGATCGGGCACCTTTTGGGCTCGGGGAGAGCCCGGTAGCACTCCTTGCAAGAGCAAACGTGCCCACACTCCAGAAAAACACAGGATTTGGTGTTGCTCAAGCAGATGACGCAGGCGTTTTTGAGCGTCTCTCTGCCCTCCGCGCTCATCTCGCGCATCAGGCGCTCCTGGGCCTGCCGGAATTCATCCTGCATCTGCCTGAGGTGCCGCCTCTCCCGATGATGCCGGTATTGCTTCCGTAGGATGAAGAAGAGGACGGCGCAGGTAGCAAAGCCGAAAACGACGGTGAGGATTTTCCAAAACCGAACGTTCGATTCTTGTTTGTGCAGCAAGGTGTCGAAATCCACGGCGCTCAGGTAGTAGGGCATGCCCTGCTTCGGGGGCTGCAGCTTGATGGTGGCGTTGTCCAGGACCAGCTCTCCCACCCCCGTCAGCGCCGTGCCCACCTTCAGCATCTGCTCCGTCTCCTGAATGCCCTTGGGGCGCTCCCCGCTGATGTAGTGGCCGATGACGTCGGTGAAGGACTGGACGGAGGGATGAAATTTCTCATACACCGTCTCCAGGCTGAGCTCGGCGGCGTCCAGCGGCTTCATCACCCTGACGGCGACGCCGGCGCCTTCCTCCTGAGGGACCAGCTCGAAGGGGGTGCTGTTGGTTCTCTGGTGGATGATCTTCTCGTAGTCATTCCTGGGGAAGGAGAAGGGGATAAAGCGAACGTGAGCGTTGACGCCTCCCCTGAGGCCGGCAGGGAAATACCACATGGGCTGACCTGCTTTTTTTTTGGGGGGGGGGGGAACAACACTGCCAGACAACCCCTGCCCCGAGCAAAATTTATTTGGCTGGGACTCACTGGAAGGCAGTGTTGGCGTGTGCAGGAAACCCTCTGCCCTCCTCTCAGTGCTTCCACTGGTGCCGGGAGAGTGCTTCAGCCCACCTCATCCCCCTCCCCTCCCTGTGAGAGGCGCTGCCTGTCACATGCACAAATTTAATCATTATGATCCAATTAGCCGAGCCTCGGGGAGCCCCTCAGGACCACCCTCAGGGATCACCCTGAACTGAGTTTCTGGTTGGAAGGTGCTATTTCCCTCGGGAAATACTACACTGCGGTGACAACAGCGCGGGGCTGCCGATAAATGCTCTGCCCGCCTCGGGCAGCTCTCCATGCTCCTCACCCACAGCCCCTCCAGGAGCCCCGACAGGCTCGGGAAACAGCCCGACGTGCCCCGTTTCGGCAGCTGGAGGGAGGTCCAGGTCTGGGGCACCTCACCGGGGACGTACCAGAGGTGGGTTGTTCGGTTCCACACCATCTTATGCTCCTGCAGGGTCAGCCTCTGGATGACGCCTTTGCAGTTCTCCACAAACTGGCTGCTCAGGGTCTCCTTGACAGACCGCACCGCCCCTGAAAGATAAATCCCACAAGCACGGGAGGTGCTCGCTAACGGCCTGCCCAGCTTCTTGCCTACAGCGAGCACAACCCACATCTGGACAAGCCGGGTTGGGGCTGCAGAGCTGCGAGCTCGTGTTTTGAGCCGGCAGGATAGGGGGGACGTGAGCTGATGGGCACAGAGCCGCGGGGCTGGGGGGGGAAGCCCACCCGGCGAGGGGGGGTGTGGATTCACCCCCGCTTTGGGCTCTGTCCCTACCTTCGATGACCGCGTAAGGGACGCAGCGCCCCGGCGCCTCCAGCAACACCGTCCGCAGGTCCCCGTCCAGCCGGACCCTCCTGGCGCCCTGAGGGGGAGGAAACGGAGGCCGCGGCTCAACCGACGGCACCAGGCCGCGGTGCCAGCCCGGGCCCGGCCCGCGGGGAGGGGCCCTTCGCACCCACCTCGAGGCCGCGGGCGACGCGGGCCTTCTGCCGGTAAACGGAGTAGACCAGGGCGGTGAGGGCGGTGCTGGCAACCAGCAGCGCGGCCTGCGCGGCCGAGGGCCGCCCGCCGCCCTCCATCGCCGCCGTTACCGCGGCAACCGGGCCGCCGCCGGCGCCCGGTGATGACGTAACCCCCTCCCGCGACGCTCTGGCGGGCGGTGTGGACACCATAGAGACGCGGTCCGCCAGGGCCGCCGCTCCGGGCTGGCGGGGGGGGGCGGTTGTTGGCGGGGGGGGGGGACCGGGGAACCCAAATTCCAGCCCCACAGGGTCTGCCAAGGGGAGGCGGGACAGACCCCAGACCCGCAGGGCCTTAGGGAGGTGAATCCCAGCCCCGGGGTCTTGGCGGGGGGAGCAGGAGAGATACAAGTCCTTCCCCGCACCCCCCCAGCCGGGGTCTTGGGGGGTGACACACAAAGCTCCAGCCCCACTGGGCTTTGGGGGGGGGGGGGGCTTAGCCCAAGTCTCAACCGCCTCTTAGCATTTTAGTGGCAGGCCTCAAATACTAATAGCACCAGGGCCCTTGGGGGAGCATCCCCAATGCCCCCCCCCCCCCAAAAAAAAAGCCTTGGGGGGGGGCAGCCCAAATCCCAGCCCTGCACAAAGCTTGGGGGGAGGTCAGGAGTGTGAAACTTGTTTCCCCGGGGCTGATGGGGGGGTGTTGGGATGTGCCCAAACCCCAGCCCTATAGCACCTATGGGGGGGGGAGTACTTACACCCCCTCACCAGGGTGTGAGGCAGCAGCACCCCCCACGGGCCCCCCCACCCACACACACTGTGAGGACACTGCTCAGCACAGGGGGACGCAGCCCCCAGCCCCATTTTGTAGGGTCCTTCTCCCACACCCCACGCAGGGCTGCGGCCAGGCCCTGCCAGCTCTGTGCTGGACACACACACACACGCACAAGACCCTGCCTGCCCCCCCCATCCCCTTACTATTGATTATTCCATGAAAGCAGAAAAAGGGGAGGAAAAAAAAAAATAGTAATTTTTTGGTAAATGATTGATCTTCAGGGCCTTGGCGCTGCTTTTGGGGTGGGTGGTGGGGGCTGTGGGCAAGCCCTGCTCTTCACCAGGGGTCTGAGGGACCAAACCCCCATCGCAGCCTCCCTGGTGCGGGTGGCCTTGTGCTGCCCCCCACCCCCCCCCCAGCTCTATATTTAAAAAAAAAAAACCAAACCAAAAAAAAAAACGAGTTGCCATGACTACGCGGAGCAGCTCTTGCCAGCACTTGGTGCCGCAGGGAGGGTGCAGAAAGCGCTGGGGACCCAGCAGCTAAAACACACACACACATGCATCCCCCCCCTCCAAATTGGCTTCCCTTTTGAGGGGTAAATTTGGTATAAACACCCCCCCCCCAAAAAAAAAACTGCCTTGGTGCTGAGCTTAACGTTTCCTCTCCCGTTTGCCAGGGGCTCGGTCCAGGCGAGACACAGGCGCCGTTACATGGCAGAAAACACACATTAACTTTATTATGGCCGCTGCGGAGGAGGCACAAGAGCAGGTTTGGGGGGGGGGGGGGCGGTCCTGGGGTGCAAACCCACTCCCCCAAGGGTCTTCCTTGCAAGTGAAGCCACTGCCTGGTCCAGACTGGTCCCCGAGGAGGGTCCGACTTCATCTTGGGGCGCGGGGAGGGCACCTCCTCCCCTGAAAAGGGGCGACCCCGCTGCTCAGCACGCCGGGGGCCGGGGGCCGCGCAGGCTGCACCCCCGCATCTCCCTGGCCAGCCGCAGCACGGCGGCACGCTCGCCGGGGCCGCCGTCCCCCCGGGGCGCCCCGCTGCCAAAGGCCTCCTCCTCCTCCTCCTCCAGGATGGAGCTGAGGCGAGGGGCGCAGCGGGCCCTCTCGGCGGGCGGGCGGTAGGGACATTTGGCGTTGAGCAGCCTGCGGAGCGGGACCAAGGGGACGATGGCGTCGCCCAGGAGCTGCTGCTGGACGTGGCGGAAATCGTTCTGCCTTTTGAGGCGCTTGAACTCGTTGAAGGCGGAGGCGGAGGTCTGGTAGAGGAGCAGGGCCATGGCGCGTGCCTTGTCGGCTTTGGAAACCAGGACGGCGTGGCAGCGCAGCACCACCGCCTTGTTCTTCACCTGGTGCCGGTAAACCCAGGCGAAAACCTTGGGGTGCCGGCGGTCGGCGGCGCAGTAGGTGATGCGGTGCAGGAGGTACGCGTGGCCCGGCCGGCGGGCTCCCTTCTCGCAGGGGGTCATCCGGATGCCTTGGGGTCCCAACGTCAGCTTCATCTTGGCCCCGCCGGCCCCCGCGTCGCTCTTAGCCCAAATCTTGCCCACCGCCTCCTCCGTGCAGCCCTCGCCCTTGGCGTGCAGGGTGACGGCGTTGCCCAGGTACCGCACCGTGTACGTCGGGTCCTCTTTATTCAGCTCCACTTTCTGACGTTTGCCGCGGAAGACGCTGCCCAGCCGCTCGAGCGGGCAGTCGGGCAGGAGGTCCGGGCAGGAGCGGAGGAAGCCGGCCAGCAACGCGGCATAGCTCAGCCCCGGCCCCAGGCTCTTGCCTTTGCACTTACGTTCATTTTCCACCAGCACAAACTTGCTCCGGCGCCAGGGCAGCATCCCCGCTCCGCCGAGGGGCCCCGCCGGCCGCCCCGCACGCCTCCGCTAATCCCGAGCCTGCCGCGACGACCCCCCCGATGACCCCCTTGCGAGCACAGGGACACCCCCACCCCCCCCCCCCTCCTCTCCGTCCCGGACCCCAAAGCTGGTTGGGGGGGTATCCCCACAACCCCCCCCCCCCCAACCCGGGGTGGGGGGAATCCCCTACCCCGGTACGGCGGGGATGGAGCTGCCGTATCCGCTGCCGTCTGCCCACGGAGGATGCTGAGCCGCTCGGGCGAGGAGGTGCTGCGGGAAGGAAGGAACGGCGGCTGCGGGAAGGGACGGCAGCTGCGGGGACGCGGCTCTCCGTGGGCTGCTCCACCTCCCCGAGCACGCGGGGAGCTGCCGGCGGACACCCCCCGCCGCCGTGCACGCCGCCGGCCGCGCTCGTGCTCGGGCAGGGAAATAAAGATGCTGATAAAATAAAGACAACACCCCCCCCCCCACCACCACCCGTGCAGCGGACAGAGCCCCGGGGCCAAAGCTCACTTGGGTGGGGGGAAATCAGGGCAGGATCCCGCGGGGATGGTTTTGGGGAGGGTTGGATCTTGGCTCCTCACCCTGGAATGAGAAAAGAGTTTGTTGTTTTTTGTTTTTTTTTTTTTTTTCCCCCAAACGTCAGCGTTGCATGAGGGGTGTGTGCTGGAGTTCGCCGATCCTGCAGGTTTGTTGGCATTTTTTACTCCAGAAACCCCCTTTTTCCCTATTATTTGCCAAGCCAGCCAGACCTCCTTGCTGCACCTCTTGGGCTGAGCTTTTGGCTTTTAACCTGTTGCTTTTAACTCTGGCCGAGGCCCTGGGACAGCTTCTCTCTGGGGAAAATAAAATATTGTTTCCCCATGGTGCAGCCAGGTGAGGATTTTTGGGGAGCGCTGTGGGGTTGCCTGTCAGATTTGAGCCCTGCAGTGGAGTCTGAAGCTGTTCAGTATTCAGCTCCCTAATTTCCACCTTTTTTTTTTACCACCCGGGGCTTCTTATGGATACAGCAGGGAGACCCCCAGGCTCGGGGACCCCCAAAGATGCTTCAGCTGCCTTGGGACTGAAAACTGAGGAGGAGAAAGAGGTAAAATAACAGCATGTGCCCCCAATTTTAGTCCGTTTGGGGAGGAAAACCTGAGTGGGGTGTTGCAGGGAGCAGGAAGCCATTTCCCAGCAGCTTCCCAGCTTTTCTACGGCTTGAGCGAAGCAACTGCAACCTTAAAATAGCTGCTTCGCAGGCAGGCAGCGCCAGGCCCTGCTCCTCTCCCTGCCACAGCCTCGGCAGCCTCGTAGGTTTTTGCTGCCAAAATAATAAAAAATGCATGAGTTTGTGTGGTTTTCGGCTTTTCTGCTGCAGCTCGGGGTGTGTGGCCTGCTCCCGGCGTGAGGATGGTTTTGGGGAGGTGGCAGTTAGTGAATTAGTGCAAACAAGGAAGGTTTTGATCCACGCCAGCCTCCATCTCTCATTATTTCTGTTCTCACTCTCATCGACAGAGGTAAGGACTCTTCATTTAATTCCTTGGCATTCATATGGACAGGGCAGGTTTAAACCCTCCCCAAAAGCTCATTTATTTATAGATCCCACATTATTTAGGAGAGGGGTGCCCCTGTTCCGGTCTGCTCCTGCAGTGCCTCCCACCAGCTGCCCTGGGGCTGGTTTTCCTTTTCTCTCCCAGGTTTTGGAGAAATTATGCCATGTAACAGAGTGAGGGGCACATGAACATCTGCAGCTCATTTGAGACGCAAAAACAACCAGGATTTGTGCTTCAAAAGCTGAAAAAAGGGCTCTGAGGTGATTCAGGGCTGCCAATCCCTCCCCTCTAGCTGCCTATTGACTTGTCTGACTGCCCTTACAAGTCACTAACTGTCATCATTAGGTTCCAGGGTGAACAGCACAAGAAAGGTGGGTCATCCAGTTATCCTCTGGGACAATACTGATCTCAGCATCCCAGCTTTGATTTCTCGGGGTGTCTGTGTTCTCGCTGCCCTGTGCTCCATTTTCAGCTCCTGGCATTTACACCTTATCAGAGGCTGCTGCCAATTCGGGCGCTGCGTCCCAGCCTGTTGTGGCTTGACAGAACTGACCCAGCAGCAAGATTTGCTGGCAAAACCAGAGGCTAAGGTCCAAATCCTCCCAAAATCCAGCAAACTGGACAAAAATCCCAGTGATAAATCAATGGGGGCTGTGACACTTGTCCTTGCAGCCAGAAAACGGGGCATTAAGCTCCTCCAGCAAGAGGAAAAAAAGAGATATCTTTAATTAAAGAACAATTTGCTGATCAGTCGGCATCCTGGGAGCCCTTCACCCTGTGTAGGCTGATTCCCACGGAAGTACCGGCTGAACCAAATTTGGGCTTGAGTAGCATGAGGCCATCCTGAAAATGGCTTTTGTGCCTCTGCTTCAGCCAGCTTTCCTTGCTACCTGATAGTTAAAAGACCTGGGAAAATGGGATGTGTATATATATTGTTTTTTTCTGGTTTCAATGAAATTAATTAATTTATTTTTGATCTCACTGATCAGGAGCTGTTGTTCCTCAACCCCAGAAGCAATTTAATGACATTTTTCCTTGGAGCCGTGCAACCAGTTTTCAACTGGGAAGGAAAAAAGCCACTGAAGCGGCGGCGGCAAAATACTCTGCTGGGATAGAGAGTGGAGGAGGTAAAAAAAAAAAAAAAAAAAAAGGGGGGGAAAAGGGGGGAAATTGGAAAAAAATGAGACAGCAGGCAGGGAGGGGACGCGGGACCTCCTGAGCCTGATGCTTTGGGGGTCAGGGCTGCCCCCAGGGATGCTTCCCGGCTGGGGCGTTATCCCGGCGGGGCCGGCCAGCCTATTTTCCAGGCGAGGAAATATTTAACCGCAGCGTCAGCGGGCAGGGCAGGCGGGTTCAGGCATGGAGGGTGGCGGGCAGCGCCCGGCCCCCACTGCCCCCCCGGGCCAGCCCCAGGGCGAGCGCCTGCAGCTCCTGCTGCGTCGCAGCCGGGAGGCCAAAAACTGCGCCTATTGCCCCTACAGCCGCTTCCCGGTGGGTGCCGCGCTGCTCACCGCCGGCGGGGAGATCTTCTCCGGTAAGTTGGGGCTGTGCGACCCTCTCCTGGGGTTTTGGGGTCCCTCCCCACAACCCTTTGGCCATGCATGGGGGTGCAGCGGGGTCGGTGTGGGGTGCTGGTCCCCGTCTGTCCGTCCCCCGCCCGCCGGGTTCCTCTTGGCAGCCGCCATCCCAGCGCGAGCCAAAGATCGTGGCGGATGGGAAAATACGGGAAATAAATAGGGGAAGAGGGAAATGCATTGGTGGGAGCCTGGGATGAGGCAGTGCGCACGGAAAATTGCTTTTCTTTGTAAATTCCCTCCCCCCCCCCCCCCCCCCCCCCCCAAAAAAAAAAAGTCTCCTGGAAGGGAAGCTGGCAGGGTTCGGGGTGTCTGAGCGGGTGCTGGGGGCTTCCCCACAGGGTGCAACGTGGAGAATGCCTGCTACAGCCTGGGGGTGTGCGCCGAGCGCACCGCCATCCAGAAAGCCATCTCCGAGGGACACACCAGCTTCAAGGCCATGGCCATCACCAGGTGAGGGTGCCCGGAGAGCCGGGACAGCGAGGGATGGGCTGGGGGGCCAGCGGGAAACCCCCCCTGTGTGCCCAAGGGGCAGCTCCTCCCGCAGCAGCCCGAGCGTTTTGGTGGGGAAGGCAGGTTTTGCTTGGTTTGGTGTTTGGTTTTGTTTTGTTTTGTTTTGTTTTGTTTTGTTTTGTTTTGTTTTGTTTTGTTTTGAGGAATTGTGGGGGAAAATCTGCTGTGGCTCCGTATTTACTGGTGCATGAAGGTCTTCTGCAGGTGTCCCCCCCTCCCCTCTGGTGGCAAAACTGAGCTCTGTGCCCTTCTCCTTTGACAGTGACATTGGGGACACCTTCATCGTGCCCTGCGGCGCCTGCAGACAAGTGATGAGAGAGGTGACGGCTCGTGCGGGGACCCCCCGTGTCTCCTGACCCCACGTAGCATCCTCTGACCCCAGGCATCATCCCCCAAAACAGCTGGAGGTGCAAAGATGGGGGGGTTGCAGCCCCCCAGCCCCAGGGCCAGCTCCAGGCTCCTCAAATTGCACTATCTGCTGGGAAAGGGGTATTCCCCCCTGTCCCACGGGTGGCAATCCATTAACTCCTCAGGGATTTTATTCCTCCTGGGAACTGCTGAGTGCAGAGTTTGGTCCTGGAGCCATCACCCCAAGCTCTGGCAAGACTGAAAATGGGGGGTTTTTCTGCAAAAGCAGAACTCCCTGCAAAGCCCATTCCGCTCTCACCTCCCTCCTCCCCGCGGGCACCCCAGCACCCCCAGCGCATTTTTGGGTGGTTAATATTTAACAGGTTGAGGGGCTCAGCTTGAAGGCCAGATTCAGCAGGTTTGGAGGCACCAGGACTCACCTGAGGGGGCAAAACCACAGGATCTGAGCCCAAAATACCCTCTGGGGGAGGTGATGCTGAAAAGACACCATAAAATATATACAGTAGAGAGGGGGATGCTCCCTGCAAACCTGGCCAAAAAGAAGGAGTATTTGGGCAATTTGAGGAAGAAGCGTGGGTTTTGCATTGGGCATTTCTCTACCCTCTTCTCCAGTTTGGCACGGACTGGGACATCTACCTGACCAGAGCAGATGGCACCTATATTGTCAAGAGGCTGGAGGAGCTGCTGCCTCTCTCCTTCGGCCCCGAGGACCTGAAGAAGGTGTGAGCAGCACGGCTGCCACCAGCCTTTGCCCTTCGGCAGCAGGGGAGGATGGGTTTCCCCCAATTTCCCCAGTGTGTAAGCAGCTTTTTGGGGACGATGCAATGGGAAATGCGTTTGTAGTGTTAAGTTTACCTGTTCCTCTCGCACATCTGATTCAGCGCTGATTTGCAGATGCCGGTCACACCTCGCCCCAGGGAAATGGTGAAATCAAATCATAGAAATTCCCTGTTATTAGAAAAAAAAGTGTCCAGATATCGCTATACGCGAGGGGGAAGTTCACAGGTGGAGAAGGGTTTGATGCGTGGCTCAAGCTCGGGCTTGTTGGTGCAGAAACCACTCCTGAATAATGCAAAATCATTGCTTGGGAAAATGCTGAATTCTTCAGCTGTAGATGAGAAGCAAAAGCAAAAAGGAAGGGCGTCATTATTAATAAGCTAATTCAGATTAGACGATTTGCTGGAAGTGGCCAGTTATGCTGAGTGTGTCCTTTGCTTGTTTCTCTCTGGCTTGTTTTTCTTGCAATTTATTCCATTTGTAGGGATGAAGACAGAGAGGAGTTCTGGGGGGCTTCTGGAGAGTTTTCTGCCTCCGGAGTAATGCTGTTTGCTGATTGTACTATTAATTTAATCACGCACAATGAAAAACAAATGTCTTACAGTTCCCAACCAGCGCTGGGCTGGGCATTACTGCCTGTGCCCCAGCGAAATAAAAGCAGCCCTGGCTCATCTCCTGCAGTTGCAGCAAATGAGGAATCACAGGGGATGGGAAGAGGGGCAGGAGGGTGCTGGCTCTGCAGGCAGGACACGACCAGGACGCTGCACGACCCAGAGCGTGGCCAGGGCAGCGCTGTCCGTGCTGGCTGCATCCAGCTGTGCCCAGCTGTGCCCTGCATTGCACAGGGGTCATGCCGTGCTCCATGCCCCGCCGTGCCCAAGGCACAGCTGGCTGTGCCCCGGGCTCTGCCCTTGCCTTGCACAGGGCTGTTGTACCTTGGCTGCGCTCTGCTCCATGCCCTGCTGAGCACAGGCCATGCCCCCCGCTCCCTGCCCCGCTGTGCCCCAGTCTGTGCCCTGTATTGCCCCAGTCTGTGCCCCGGGCTCTGCCCCGCATTGCCCCAGGCTGTACCCCGCTCCTTACCCCGCTGTGCCCCAGTTTGTGCCCCGCATTGCCCCGGGTTGTGCCCCGCATTGCCCCGGGCCGTGCCCTGGGCAGGGCTCTATTCCCTGCCGTGCCGTGCACTTTGTCTGCCGGTTTGTGCCCCGTTTTCTGCCCAGTTTTGTGCCCCGCACCGCCCCGGTGTGTGCCCCGTTTTCTGCCGCGGTTTGTGCCCTGCCCCGCACCGCCCCGGTGTGTGCCCCGTTTTCTGCCACAGTTTGTGCCCCGTTTTCTGCCGCGGTTTTGCTCCGCTTTCTGCCCCGCACTGCCCGGCTTTGCGGCCCCTTTTGCCCCGTTTTCTGCCCCGGTTTGTGCCCCGCCTTGCCCCGCCCCCGCCTTGCCCCGCCCCGCCCCCCGCCCCGCCCCAAATCGCAGGCCCCGCCCCCCGCCCCAGCCCCGCCCCCCCGTTGCGCTGAGGGGGGAGCGGCCATGGCGGCGCGGCTGCTGCTGGCCCGGGCCCTGCGCCTGCTGCCGCGTTACCGCCCGCCCCGCGCCCCCCGCCCCGGCCCCCGGCCCGCCCCGCCGCCCTCGCCCCGCCGGCCCTGGCTGTCCTGGCTGCCGGCTGCCCGCCGCCTCCTCCTGCGCGGCCCGGCCGGCGGGCCGGCGGCGGTGGCGCGGCGGTGGCGCGGCGGGGCCTGCCTGGCGCTGGCGGTGACGCTGGGGCTGGTGGAGCCGCGCCTGGAGGAGCAGCGACGGGCCGAGGCGGCGTGCCGCCACATCCAGGTGCGGCATCCCCTCGGGGGGGGCTGCGGCGGCACCCCCGGGCCCGGGCCTCCCTCTGGGGAGCCCCTCGGGCGCCCTCCGTGAAGGGGAGGGGAGGGTGCTTGCTGTGGGGAGCCCCTCAGACACCCCTCATGAAGGGGAGGAGGGTGTTCTTTTGGGGAGCCCCTCAGACACCCCTCATGAAGGGGAGGGCGGGTCCTTGCTGTGGGGAGCCCCTCAGACACCCCTCGTGAAGAGGAGAGGGGTGTCCTTGCTGTGGGGAGCCCCTCAGACACCCCTCATGAAGGGGAGGAGGGCATTCTTTTGGGGAGCCCCTCAGACACCCCTCATGAAGGGGAGGAGGGCGTTCTTTTGGGGAGCCCCTCAGACACCCCTCATGAAGGCAAGTGGGGGGGTCATTGCTGTGGGGAGCCTCTCAGGTACATCTTCCCCCCCAGGAAGGGTGGGAGGACTGCTATGAGCAGCCCTCAGACTCATCCCCCAAAAGGGGACTGTGGGCAGCCCCGCAGACACCTCTTCCTCCTGAAAAATAGAGTGCTGGGGAAGCATCTTTGTCAGCAGCTCCTCAGCACCTTAAAGCAGGTACTGGGGGGGTCCTCACTCCCTGTCCCCCCACGAAGGGATGGGGGGGTCTCGTGTCACAGGAGGCTGGCATCGAGCCCCCAGGTCTGTCCCCTCTCCCTGAGACAGGCGAGGGCCCTGCGAGGCTGGGCCAGGCTGTGCTGGCAGGGCACTGCGGACGGACGGTGCTGAACATATTTCGTGGGTAAAAATAGATGTTTGGTGCTCAGAGCCAGCTGTCACCTGCCCCACTAACAGGCAGACAAACACATTCTTGCGGAGGTTATGCTTTTCCCTGAAGCTTCTCAGGATGCTTTCTCCCCTCTGCCCTGGCTGGGTTGTTAAATTTGCCATCTTCCCCCTTCCACCCTCCCTGAATCTGTGTCCCTTTGCTCCAGGGCACGTCCCTAGAGCGGCCGCCGGCACATCGGGGTTGTAGCTCATGGAGAAGGGCGCTGGTTTATATGGGTCCAGGTGACAGCTGTGGACCTGTAAGATTGTGAACACTGTGCTTCAGCTCCAGAACAGCCCTCCTGTGCTTTGTTTTGTCTCTTTCAATTTCCTCCCCCAGCTTTCTCCCATCACTGATTCACTCTTCCTCTAACTAATCAACCCTTGTACTTGGTTGCCGCAAAAGCTCTGGGCATTGTTTTTCCATCTGTCGTTGCTCTTAATTGGATTTTCTTTTAAACGCTATTTGCCTGATTTATTTATGGTGGGGGAGAAAAGTGTAATAATGCATCTCTTTTTAGAAATATTTAGTTAGACTTGTCTTTACAAAACATGTTTATGTTCTAGATTAGCAAATGGCTCCTTCTTCCCATTCCTCTTCATCCTGTGCATTTACAGCACCCTCGGAAAGGGCAGCTTTGGTAAAGTCTGTTTTAGGGGTAATTTGTTTGAGACAAAAATACACGATCTGCCAGTTATTTTCCCTGTGGTTACAGTGGTTAGAGCCTGAATGTGGCTTTCAGGTTGGACAGACCCAATGGGATGTGTAATACCGCTTGACCAGTAAGGGAGTTCTTCATTGGGAAGTCTTGAATATCTGAGTGTTTTTTTTTATCATTGTCTTTTCTTACTCCTCTCAGACAGTGTTTGTTGGAAAGAACAAGCCTCAGAAAGATCCCCTGAGCTCCTTCCGCTGGCAGGGCTTCAAGCTGGAAGAGTATCTCATCGGCCAACCCATCGGGAAGGGCTGCAGTGCTGCTGTGTACGAAGCAGCTATTCCTCTCTCTCGCTATCGTCGGGGGCCTGCAGAGAGCAGCTGCCTTGCGGGGCAGGGGCCAGCCGTGCAGCAGGGTCGTGGCTCGGCTTCCCAGGGGGCTGAAGAGGAGCCTGTAGAGAAACACCAACTGAAAGAGGCTTTTCCGTTAGCTATCAAAATGATGTGGAACATTTCGGTAAGGAGTCAGTTCTTAATCTTGTCTGTCACTGGGAAAGTCTGGTTGAAATGTTTTAACGCTTGTGTTAGAAATGCTAATTATGTAGCTCACGATGAGCGTGTCAAAACAAAGCTGTTGATACGTGACATTGGAGACATTGATTGTTAGTGAACAGTCCCAGAGCAAGGTAATTAGCGTTCATCATTCCTCTGGAATCGGCGTTGAGAGCTGCTGGTGGTGGCGTTGTTGGTTATGGAGGTGGTGGTTTTGGAAGAAAAGCTTTTCTGAAGCTGGCTGTAATGGTAAGGTATGAGAACAGGAAAGCCACTGCTGCCAGTGCTTCAGGAATCGGTGTCCTCGTCCTTGTCAGGACAGAGAGAGATTTTCTTCTGCACCGTGTGGCCAAGGCACGAGTCAGTGGCGACAGGCGTGGGGCAGTAACCTGCGTGCTGGGTCCCCCTGAAGTGAATGAACAAGATCTGTGCTAGCGTTTCCCAGCCTGAGTGACTGATGATCCAGCCCCTTGAGGTGGCTATTCCACATCTAAAAACAGTCCCCATGGCTTTTCCCATTGAGGAGGTTTTGTGGCACTTCCTGTGAGAAGTGGATATTCTAAGGGAGTTCCAAAATGCCAACATCTGAAATCCCCAATCTGAAACCCCTTGAATTCAGAAGTACCCTGGCATTTAGCCATGAGCTTTTCCAGTCACGTTTTAAGGTTGAAAGTGAGTGTCAACACATGGCTCAGTGTGCTAACAGTCAGGGATGTACTTGAAGAGACAAATGGATTTCTTTCTGCAAGTAAAGGCCTTATCGTGTCTCTTGGTAAATTCTTTAAGTGGTTAATTGCCTTCCCCAATTTTCAAAGTAGAGAAGGGTGTCCCTTCAATCTGGTCTCAGTTGATCTAACTCCAGGTACAGTGCCAGCATCGGGATTCTCTGCTTTCGGTCCGTCCTGAGGCTGGATGATTTTGGAGCTTCACCCCACGCGGTGTGTAATTGCTGTTGCAGGCGGGTTCGTCGAGCGAAGCCATCCTCGCCGCTATGGGCCGAGAGCTTGTTCCCGCCACGGCGGCTGCCTTGGCCGGAGGGTACGGAGCCGTCTCTGCCCGCAGGTACGCTCGCCGTGGAAATGGCGGCGGGGCTCAAACGGTGACATGCTAATTTTACCCATCAGTTTTGCAGCATGCCAGTTAAGAACCCAGAGGTTTCCGTAATAGTTCCTAAAAGCAGATAAAAACGAAGCTTTGGGGTTATTAATGGCTCGGGAGATGTGTACGTGTGTTTTGTCTAAACGACGGTGCTCTCGGGAGTGCCGCGCACCCCAAACGTCACGCAGGGACGGGCTGCTGGCCACCCTGGGGACTTTTTCCTCCGGTGTTCTTTTCTCCAGCACAGTTAGGGCACCGCATAGCGGTACCGCTGTTCAAATAGTGATTTAACACAGTCTCGTTTACTCTGAGGGGGGAGATTGTGGCACGGCTTGTTGGCGTGCGGGGAATACCTACAGCTAAACTGTACCACCTTGGATGGCATAGTCCAGAAGGGTGTCGGAAGGGCACGCCAATAATTGGGGTCCTGCCAGCGGTCTGATGGGTGACTGTGGCCAGGCACCTCTGTGCCCCGTGCCTTAGTTTCCCCATGTGTGAAATGTATTGATATCTGCAGAGTTAAAGGCTGGGAGGAGCTAGTTCTGATTAAACATCATTTAAATGTGCTTCGCGGTGTTTTTGAATTGCAGAAATATATACCCACAATCGGTAACAATTTGACTGTATTAGACATCAAACAGTTGGACTGTAATACAGTTTGACCGTACTGTTTTAGAACTGGTTTGGTTGTAAAATGGGTGCTGGGCAGGGAGGTGGAAACTGTTCTAGTGCAGGAAAACTGGCAAGAAAAAAACCAGAAAATTACTCAGTTCCCAGTCTTTCACCCGAGTGAGAAGTGAGCAAACAGCATGAAGGTGGAAAATTGCATGGAAACTTTTAAATTATCTCGAGTTAGTTACCTTTTTGTTAAAAAATGCATCTTTTTGTTTGACTTGAAACAATGGAGTCCGCAGTCCAGATTGTCTGATTTAAATTTCAAATACATCTCAGCTGCCAATACAAATGAATAATGAATGCTGTGTGGTACATCAGCGCAACAGAGCAGCCAGAGGGATATTTGACATTCAGGGGATGAGCGGGGAGAGAGATGTGTTTTGCAGATAGAGAGGTAACCTGCTTTTCATTGTAGGGAGTGCTTCCTGCCTGTGCCATAAAATAGAGGGTCTAAATTGATATGCCTAGTGTGAAGTTGACCTTTATTTTATGTCTAACAAAGTAATTGTGTTTGGTTTTTTTTCTCTAAAGCTGTTGTAGTTCTTTTTGAACCGAGAAGCAGCCTGTGACTAGCTCTGCCTTTGTTAGCAGCGTGGAAGGGCTGGTAGGGTTTGAATAAAATTAAAAGCTGCATGTTAAAAGTAAGGGTTTCCAGCAAAGCTGCTTTTGCTGCACATGTAAAGCACCAGTATTTCCTGTTCGGCCGTTGTATATAGGGAAATCCAGTTTCAACAGAGCCCTTCTAATGGCCACAGGTGAAGCCGTGGCCTGTACCCTCCGCTGCTGTATCAGCAGACGGCACTGCCCTGGTGATGGTTTGCTTTGCTGTGGGAAGCGCCGGGGTAGATTTCGAACTCCAGAGAAAGTGCTGGGACCTGCCTGCTGCCGCAGTGGATCTGCTCAGGCTGTGGGTGCTCCGTGTCAACGTGGGAAACGCTGGGCTGAGGCGCCGCTGAGGACGTTGGCTGTGAGGGCAGGGAGGTTCCTCTCCGTGTTCTTTCTAACCCAATGGTTTCCAGGATGTGAACGTTTGAATGTTTGTCTAACGTGCAGTCCTGTAATCTGTACTGGGCAGCCTTAATGCTCCCTCTAATAAAGTTTTCACTGCAGAATAAACGTGTCTGCACACTGCTTTGGAACCCTTTGGTGGGGAGGATGGGTCATATTAATGAAAAGTAACTTCAGAAATAAGAGAAAAGTGTCTGATAAATCAGAAATGACCAAGAGATCGATGTAATCTGTGGTATCTATGCTTTTGTGCAGAAAACCTGTCCTTGGGAGGAAGAAGTTACAGCCTCATCCAAATATAATCCAGGTGATCCGAGCGTTCACATCCTCTGTCCCTTTGCTGCCTGGAGCCCTCGCAGACTATCCAGATGTTCTTCCGTTAAGCCTGAATCCCAGAGGGATCGGTCACAGCCGCACGCTCTTCTTGGTGATGAAGAAGTAGGTAGAGAGAAGCTTGCTAATGCAACTCGAGCTTTTTGTGATGCTGCCCAGCAGGGCTGTGTGTTCTGCTGCTACACTGGTCCTTGCAAAGATTTGGCCTGAGCTGCTGCCAAAAAGCAGTGTACGCTCTTGGAAATGCCTCCTAAGACCCGTGCCAAGTCCTTGAGATTTTAACTCTTGTTCAACAATGAAGGCAAGCTGTTCTTTTTAATAATTACCCCACATTACAGTAAGAAATGTGGAGCTTGTCCCCCTTTGTCTGCCCTTCTAAGTCTGAACCTCACCCCTAGTCTGAACACGCCACTAGAGACAGAGTAGAATCGGTAATGAGATTTGTTAGTGCTCTGCATCTCTGACCTTCTCGGTTGGGCTTTGGTTTTGAATGGGCATTGCAGTGGCATTGACATGAAAGCACCTTCTGCTTCCCAGTCTTTTGCTCTGCCTGTGTCTGGAGAAGTGCTCTGTCCTGTCACTGTTTCCAGAATATGTTCTTTCTCCTGTTTAGCACATCTGCTCATTTTGCTTGTATGATCTGCGTTATTAATCTGCCTCTTCTTTTATCCAAAATATAACACCAATATGTAAAAACGTGTGGGAATGACCACTGTATACCTGGAGCCCCTCGCCATGCTGTTTAAGAGGCTTCTTTTATTTGCAGTTGCTGAACTCGGGCCAGAGCACTGAAAATTCAGTGGTGGGTGTTGTTGCCAAGCAGAGGATTTGAGAGCAGCAGACAGGGGAGTGGTGTCAGGTTGAGGCTGGGAGGTGGGAAGGCATCGTGGACATCAGGTAGATTTTGGCACACACAGGTGTGCTGGATCCCCAGCCAGCCAGCACTGAGGTTGAACCACAAGCAATAAGCTTCCAGGGTGTTAATTCAGAGGCTTTCCTTGTTCTGACTAGTTATCCATGCACGCTGCACCAGTATCTGAGGGAGAACAGTCCGGATGTTTGTCTCTCCACGATGATGATTTTACAGCTCTTGGAAGGTGTGGACCATCTTGTTCGACATGGAATTGCACACAGAGACCTGAAATCTGACAACATCCTTGTTGAATTTGATTCTGGTAGGTAGCTCGCTGAGTACAAATGCCAATTAAGTCATGCAGAGGAGTGATGCAGTCATGTATTCAGGGAGGTCCTATCCAGGCGTACGTTTAGGGGAAAAACAAGCATCAAACCCTTTGAAGAATCTCAGATTTAGATTTTAGCTTACCACTCGCTGTCACTGCGGCGCTGGGGAAGTCATTTATCCTGTCTGTGCCTCGGGTTTGGATCATTAAAATGGAGTTGAGAGGAGTGTTGTGCTGTAATCAGATGGAGAGACGCAGCGTATTGCTGAGGTGACGCGTTGCACGAGCAGAGCGAACGTCAGCTGGAGCAGATGGGCACACAGTAACGCCACACTGGCTTCAGGCTCCTGGCTCTGTCATCTCTCGGTAGCCAAATAGCACAGGGCAGTTCTTAAAATCCCACCTCACGGTCAGGTTAATAGTTCTGCTCCTGGGATGATGAAACATCGCTTGGACGGCAAGGGAACCGACAGTGTTAAATCCAAAAGCAGCATTTTCATCTGCTTGTTCTCCTGTCAGCCTCTCTAACTGAGATTTTAATTACCTGAGCTCTTTTTCAGTGTGATTGAGATTTAAATGGGCAGGAAAGAATAGCAGGCAGCCAGATCTGTGTAATTAAAGGTCTTGGTACAGCAGCCGTGGAAGGTTTTCAGCGATACTGATGCCATCCTTCTTTTGTTGAAGGAAAAGCTTCTCTGGAGCTATCCTGACAGCGGTTAGGAATGATTTAAAGCATTGATTTTTCCATATCAGAGTCTGAAGAAGTAATAATTCTACTTTGCAATGTTTCACTTGTCATCAGGACAAGGACTGTCAACTAAGGCAAAGTTCTTCCAGCCTTTTGCTATAACTAAGTATATCTGAATATATTCCACTATCATGGATGGGTCTCTAATCTTAGGTGTCTTCAATTTGATGGTATCTGCGACGTTTTGTGAGACACACGTTCCATGGGGACCAGTAATATCCTCTAAAGAGGAAATGGAATAACAACTTTTGTTTTAATAAAACTGGTATTTCACCTAATAATAAAGAAGCAAAGCAGGAAAACGGTGTTCATGCTGATTCCTGGGGGTCCTGAGATTATTCCTGAAGACTGTCTGTGGTGTCCATGTGATGTGGTGTCTAATACAGCCCCGTCCTCCCAGACAGAACACTAACTCTGCTCTCCCGTGTCGCTCGCAGCCGGCTGCCCCTGGCTGGTGATCACGGACTTTGGCTGCTGTTTGGCAGATGAGAACATCGGCTTGAGACTGCCTTTCACCAGCTCCTACGTGGATCGGGGCGGCAACGGCTCCCTTATGGCACCTGAGGTAAATCCCCCTGCAGGAACGGTTTGTGTTGCTGTCCTGCTTGTCCTGCTGTCGGGACTAAGAAGTTTCAGCCCAGCTGTGGCGCAGGCTGTGATGGGAACTTGAGAAAGGGTGGGATTAGGTCTAGAAGCAGTGGAGGGGATGTGTGCCCATCATTTGTTCCTGAGCCTTCCCCCACATGCACACACCAGTGCTTGCTTATGTGGCCTCTGCTGGTGTGTGTTCACAGCAGTACCTGCTGAAAGCCTCTCTGATCAGATCGTTTTCCACCCGTTCCTGCTGATTGATGTAACTTGGTCGTGCAAGGCAGTACCTGCAGCTGGTTACTGCATAACTAATCTCACCCTGCGCCCCGTCGCGGAGAGCCATGGCCTGTAAAGCAGCATAGGAGGCCCCTCGTTCGAGCTTGCGTTACGCTTGCTAAACATCTCTGTGTTAATAAAAAAAAAAGTCCTCTTTGGACCTGTGCTGAGCAGCTGTCAAATGGACCCCTTGATTGCTAGAAGGTGAAACATAATTGGTGTAAGGAGGCAGAACTGACCTTTTCCACAAAACGCTTGCTCCTCAGTCATTTCTCAGGCCCCTTTTTATGTAGCTATTAAAGAAGTTTATGCAGCAGTCCTTGTGTTGCAATAGTAGTTTTTGGGTAAAGTTCAAGGTAGCTGTGAAATTATTTACAGTTCCTTTTTATATCTCTGACGATAACAGTGATAAAAACAAATACACCCTTAACTCTCTGCTTGACCTGGAGCACCTTGCCTTGCTGTGCCCAAGCGCCGGCGCAGTGTTGGTTGCATGTCTCCTGTCTGTCTGAAATCCCAGTGTGAAACAGCCCTCGGGACTCTGTGAATGCTGGTCAGGGCCAATGGCTAAAGCAAGGACCAGACTCCTCCCAGTGTCCTGGTGAGGTGAGCAGCACCAAAGCCTTAGAGCATGCTGATAGGGAATATTTACACCAGAGGTTTAGATGAAACCGAGCTTTCGTTTCGGTCTCTCTCAGTGTATCACAGTGGGAATGCTGACTCGACCCTTGAAACTCAGTTCTAGCGCAGGGCCCACACTAGAGCTGTTTGTTTGAACATCCCTGTCTGTGTGACAGGTGATCACGGCGACACCCGGTCCAGGCACGGTGATCAACTACAGTAAAGCCGACGCTTGGGCTGTTGGAGCAATCGCCTATGAAATCCTTGGCTTGGCCAATCCGTTCTACGGCCACGGGGACTCAGCTCTGGAAAGCAGAAGTTACCGTGAAGACCAGCTGCCAAGGCTGCCCGACCACGTGCCCTGTGAGGTGAAGCAAGTGATCAAAATGCTACTTCAGAGGGATCCCAACAAGGTAAGAAGCTGTTGTCTGGAAGCAGTCAAGTCTAACTGGTCTTTGGGAGTGTTGTCTGTAGATCCTTTCACCCTGGAGGGCTACGGGTGCAGGACTGGGATCCAGGTATCACTGCAGTCTAGATAACGATCAGAGACAAACAAAAAGTCTTTGCTGAGGTGCAGCGCGGCCTCTCACATGTGGCACTGAATAGTTTCAGGGATTTCAGCGGATGTTTGTTAGGGACTGGACCTTGAATTGGGGAGTTACGTGCAGGTGCCTGGTATGGGAGAGCTTTTTAATTCGCAGGGACCATGCGGTTCCCTGGAGGCGGCCTCGCAGGGTTTGGGCAGTGCAGATGCTCCCTGCTAGTGGTGTGACGTGAGTGCAGCAGGATCAGCTAATCTTCCCTCTCCTTCCTTTTGCAGAGATTGTCTGCTAGAGTTGCTGCTAACGTGCTTCACCTAAGCCTCTGGGGTGAAAGCATTCTAGCGTCCAAGGCCCTGAAACCCGACCAGATGATCTCCTGGCTGCTCTGCCAGTCTGCGGCAGCTTTGCTCATGGATGGACTGGTGGATAAAAGCCGGGTGGAGACCAAAATGAAGATGTGCTTTTTGGCAAACCTCGAGTATGAAGACCTCTGGGCAGCAATATTCCTGTTGCTGGCCTGGAGAAGCCGGTCTGGGTGAAGAGTACCATCAGGGACACGACCCTGCGATAGATAAATGGCACTTTCTAAAGGCACGTAGGAATCTGTCTTTTCTGTCTGCCTGGAATCCTGTAGTGCTTTAGGGAACAGAACTGCAGGCCTGTGTTTAAGAGGTTGAGTTTATCTCTAGCAAGTGTTAGTACACACTGCTTTTCTCTCCCTGCTAGAGGAAATGCCTTGGCTTTGTTACTCTCTTGGTGTGAGGGTGTGCGGACCGTGCAGGTGTCCTGAGGTACGTGGTTGGCTTTGCTCACATTTGGGAATTCTGAATTGACTTCTAAGTTGTGTGTTGAATGAAGCAAGTTCCCTTTCAGAGGAGGGGGTGTGTGGGAGGAGGCACTGTCTGGCTGCTGGTTACACGGAAGCATCACGGATTTAAACCATACACTGACAAAGGGACAAGCAATCTTTCTTTTCTTAGGGAAATCGGTGGTGGTCTTAAGAGGATATTCCTCTGCAGCCACAGACAGATACTGCTATAAAATGACAGCCTGAAAGCCTCCTACTGAGGTGCTGCCTGGTAACGTGAGCGTCAGGAGCTGCTCGCTTCGTAGGATAATGCACCATTAAATACCTCGCTAGTTGTACGCAAAATAACGGAAGTACATTGAACCCCAAACCCACTTCTGCTTGTTTCTTGACTGTCGTAATTATCGGGGTCTGAGGCTGAGTCCAGCTGTGTCCACTGAGGGATAATGCTGCCAACAAAATGGGGCTGAGCAGCAGTGCCTGCTTAAAGAGTTTAATGTCATGCTCTTGTGTTTTACTGACCCGTCTTTTCTGTTGAACGGTGAAGTGTAATTTCCTTTGGCCGGGCAGGATAGGAGACATCCATGCTTGAACAGCAGTCGTGATTATGAAAACATCATTTCATTTCATGTCTGTAATCGTGTTTAGAGGAACTTGGGGAGAAACTTATGCTTGTTGCACAATAAATTGAAGATTAAGCTCTGCTGCCGAGTGGGTTCTCTAAATCCAGTTCATCTCTGTTCATGGGACTCAGGCTTTAGGCTGTGGAGGCGAGGGGGGCAACGCACCCCTGGTTCTGTGGGGTCTTAAAAGATCATTCAGCTCTTTCCATGTTATTTTAATCCACCAAGTGGAGTTTTCCCGAAGAGGAATGGACCTTGCCTCGTGTACGTGCCTGTTTCGTACTCTCCTGAACAGTAAATCACGGGCTGCTCCTGCAGTTTCCAGGTCGATGACATCATGTGTCAGATGGCTGACATCCCTCATCATCACGCGGTAACGTGCCATCCAAGTCCTGCACCGCTGAAGCGGCGCCTCGGTCAGCAGCGGTGCAAGATACCGACCGGGAACGGCCCTGCGGGGCTGCAGGGGCTCAGCAAAGAGCCCAGAACCCGGGAAGTCACGGGAAATGAGCTCTTTGGGCAAAAAGTTGCAGAAGAAACTTTAATCTCAGTCTCACCCTAACCAAAGCTGCTGCTGGTTTTTCTTGCATACTGAGTTCTTGCAGCTCATTTTTAGCTGGGATGGCTGCCTTGGATCTGTGTGCGCTCTCCTGTGAGCTCTGTGCCCCTGTGTCTAGCAGTGAGGCCTGTTCCCCGGACACTCTGGAACTTTTTGAAGAGTAAATAGTGTCGCTTTTTTGGTAGATCTCCGCTCTGACCTCTCTTTCTGTTGTTCTGCTGTTTCTCTGAGCCAGCCAGAGCTGGTTAGCTCAGCGAGGCGCAGCTTGGCTTGTTGACATGTCGAGTCTCTCCTTGTCCCTGCAGCACCAGGCATGGAATACACACATATTCCACACCGGATAGTCCATATCCGAACCAACTGTGTGGCGCAGGCTTTCTGCTGCGAATATAGTCTGCATTTTTTTTTTCCTTTGATTTTCATCCCAGGCCCAATCGCTACACAAGCAGGGAACAGAATTAGGAGCCAGAGCCATCTGATTTCAAGCATGTCGTTATTAGGCCAACCAGGGTTTGATCTGTGCTGGTTTAACTCCAGACACTGGAAACTTGCTTCCCCTGGAAATCATCTCATTTCGCCTCTGTCCTCAAAAATGGCCTAAAATGCTTGTCCCGTAGCACCGCCTCTTGTTCTTAAATCCCTGTTATTGCTTCTCGTTTGCTTGCATTTTGTCTGTCTGTGGTTCTGCTGAGGTCGGACTTTTTTTTTTTGTTTTCTTTCACTGCCTGCCTTTCGTTAGTGAGACATTTTTATGATTCTTCAGCATTCCGGGTGCTTTTTGTAAAGCGCTGTTTAAAAGTATATGCTGTTACCGCAACCAGCGCTGCCTTACTTTCTGCAAATGCCCGAGGGGAGCAAAGCCGGATCATTTCCCAGCGCGTTCCTCCTGCCACTCCCTAGGCAGGCTCTCCTTGGAGACGCTCGAGCTGAAGCCCCTCGCTGCTGGTGTTTGCTGGGAAGCAGACGGTGCTGCGGGGGAAAAAGGGGTGGCCGGGAAAGGGGGAACGTGAGGCCCGAGCTGAATCCCTGCCCTTCCCCGGGCAGCGGGGTGTCCGGCCGCACCTTGAACCCTGGGGAGGGCGGGGGGTGGCCTGGCGCAGGCGGCTGGCGCTCTGCTCGGCTGCTGCGCTCCAGCCGAAACGCCGCAGTCTCCGCCAGCACCCCTGGCTCCCCTCGGAGCGCGTGGGGCAGGATGAGCCGCCTGCTCCGGGCTGCCGGCAGCCTGCTGCTGCCCCGGGAAGCCGGGCTGTGCTCTCGCAAGCCGGCTGCTTTTGCTGCCGGCTCTCCCGGCGCGTCCGCGGGGCTGCTCCGGCACCCGGGGCGCGGGGCCCCTTGCCGCTGGGGCTCGCAGTTCAACGTGCCCCCCAGTGCCCAGTCCGTGGCTCGGCCCGTGGGGGTCTGCTCCATGATGAAACTGCCCGTTCAGGCATCGGCGGAGGGGCTGGACGCAGCTTTTGTCGGTGTCCCTCTAGACACGGGCACATCCAACCGGCCGGGAGCCAGGTGAGGGCTGGCCGCGGTGCCCGGGGAGCTGGTGCTTGGCTCCGGCCGGTTAGCACAGCTTCTCCTCCCGCAAGAGGCGCGGCGCTGGCGTCGGGAACTCTGCCCAGCAGCTTTTCCCAGCTCTGCCATCTCCCCAGGTTCGGCCCGCGCCACATCCGGGCCGAGTCGGCGATGCTGAGGAGGTACAACGCCAGCACCGGGGCAGCGCCTTTCGACTCCCTGCGGGTGGCTGACGTTGGGGATGTGAACGTGAACCTCTACAACCTGCCCGACAGCTGCCGCCTCATCCGAGAGTCCTACCAGGAGATAGTGGCCTCCGGCTGCGTGCCCCTCACCTTGGGTAAGGACCCCACGTCCCCTCGCCCTGCCACCCCATCCCTGCTCACCCAAACCCCTGCTCCTCCTGCCCTCGCTCAGTCTGAACAAGGTAGATGGTGAGTGGTGGATGTGTCCTCTGCTAAATCATGGGCTAAATGGGTAAATCCGGGGTAAATTCACACGCTCTCTGCTGAAATGACTGCCAGCAGTGATGCCTCTTGTATCAAAAATGGGGAGAACGGGTCAACCAGGAGATTGTTTCGATGCACAGCCTGAAGCTCAACCACAAATCCAGTCGGCAGCGTGCTCTCGGTGTCCTGTTGAGCAGGGCCCAAAGCAAGAGCAGTTTGTGTCCCTCTGGAAAGCTTCAAGCTTGAGCAAGCGCCCGGCAGTGTGCTGCTCCGTGCAGGGTGTGATTTGGATGCGTGGTCAAGTTTCCAGCTGTCGCAGCTTGGCATCGCTAAATGAAGGGAGTGTATGGAGTGAGGAAGGGCAAATTGTCAGTTACAGCGTCCTCAGAAATGAATCAAGCACCTATTTATAAGCCTGGTCAAGGGTCCTGCTCCATGGGCTGCCTCTGCCAGCAGTCATGCATCTCTGGTCCTCCCAAGGAGGAGAGAGGAAGGCACCTGTACCTGGGAGCCTCAGGTTTTCCTTTGGGAGAGAAGCCCTGGGGTGTATAAACAAGTGCAGGATAAATGCAAGGGGGGGGGGGGAAATCACCTGGGAACAAACGTAATAAGTGCTGAGCACCCCTTGCAGTGTGTTACGCCCTCATCCCTGTCCTGTTGCAGGTGGAGATCACACCATAACATACCCCATCCTGCAGGCCGTGGCAGAAAAGTAAGTTTCTGACTTGGAGATGTAGAATAAGAACCTGGGAAGGAGCCTTGGGGAAGGCTCCTGGTGTGCTCGCCAGGATGTAGGCAGGGCCATCGCCCAGGGGCTGGGGACTAACGTGGCCACCCCGACTCGACTAGGCACGGACCCGTGGGACTGGTGCACGTGGATGCTCACACCGACACGGGTGACAGAGCCCTGGGGGAGAAGATCTACCACGGGACCCCGTTCCGGCGCTGCGTGGAGGAAGGGCTGCTGGACTGCAGCCGCGTGGTCCAGATCGGCATCCGAGGCTCCTCTTACGACCCCGATCCCTACAAGTACTGCCAGGACCAGGTAAACTTGGCCGCAGGTGTGTGCTGAGCGCAGCTTCCTCTCCCTGTCATTAATATCCCCTCAGCTTCAGCAGGAAAAGAAGTATCTTTTCTGCATCTTGTCCCATGCCAGCAGCTTGGCCCACAGGACAAGTGCTGCCAGCACACCGAGCTGTTAGCTGAGCGGAGAATAAGAAATTGGGGGGTGAGCGGAGGGTGCTTCACGGTGCACCTCTGCAGCTTGGCCCTGGGATGAGGATTTATCCCAACGGACATCCCTGGCAGGGCAGGGGATGCACTGCTTTTCCCCACGTGGGTGCTTGGGTGGTGTGTGTGCCCGCAGGGCTTCCGGGTGGTCCCGGCTGAAGAGTGCTGGAGGAATTCCCTGGTGCCGCTGATGCGGGAGGTGAGGGAGCAGATGGGGGACAGGCCGGTGTACGTCAGTTTCGATATCGATGGACTAGACCCCGCGTACGCGCCGGGCACCGGGACGCCGGAGATAGCCGGGCTCACGCCTGCGCAGGTAAGGGGGACGCAGCTTCGTTTCCCAGTGGGAAGGGGTTGGTTTTGCTCCCATTAAAGGAGGTTGCGCTGCCAGCGCAGCAAAGCGAAGGGTTAGGGAGGCTGGGGAGCATTTCATAGTGGTAATGAGGCAAGGAAGTGTTGAACCGATGTGATTTGGTCTGTACGGGTTGGGTTTCCTTAGCTGCCTATGAGGAAAGCAGAGCCCTGACCAGTCTGCTAAATCAGATGTGTTTCATGAGCCCAAGTCTTTTTTTTTTTTTTTCCTTAGGCTTTGGAGATTATTCGTGGCTGCAAAGGCCTGAGCATAGTGGGATGTGACCTTGTAGAAGTTGCACCGATGTACGATGTCTCCGGTGAGTGCAGAGATGGTTGAAAGGCGTGCGCGCCCGGCAGAGGCGGCTGGCCGCCGTGGGTGAGAGCGGTTGGGCATTCATGGCTTGGGGTTTTCCCCCTTTTTGTCTGTCCTCAGGTAACACGGCGCTCCTGGGGGCAAACCTGCTGTTCGAGATGCTGTGCGTCCTCCCCGGAGTGCAGACGATGTGAGGGCAGCTCCCGCCTGCCCCGGGGCAGCGCCGCTCTGGCCGCGGCTGAGCCTCTCCCTGTCCCGTTCCCCTCGACCAGTTGCAGCGAACGTGGGACTTGCAGTAAGGACTGGATGTCATTTACCACTAGACAAAATAATGTTAAGCTGATAAACTGTAGGTGGCAGATGGGTTTGAACAGCCCGTTTAACTGGTGGCTGTAGCTTTGGGGTTTGCCTGGGAAAGGAAAAGATGAGGCTAATGGGGCTTCGCCTTTGCTTTCACAGCTGCAATTACTCATCTGGCTTATAGGGATTCGTGGCAAAACTGGCACTGGTAGGAGGTTCCTCCTGTTAAGATGCAGCAGCAGGGTGATAAATGTAAAGGGAGGGCAGCCGAAAGTGGCCTGGGGCTTGGTCGGAGAGTAGGGGGATATTTGACTGAATTTTCTGCTGGAGGTAACTGGGCATCGCCTGTGGCAGGAGCGGTTTCATTGCTCCCGGAACGTCGGAGCTGCCGCGGAGGTGAGGTTCACTTGTACACGGAAACACAGAGCCACCTCATCACACATTAAAATATTTTATTTTGGTTGCGATTCTGTAATCGTCTTAAAACAAAATGACATCAGTGCCTGTTCACAAATACAAAACAAAACAAAACTAAAAAAGACAAGTTTGCCAAATAAGTTAATTCCCTCCCCCCCCCCCCCCCCCCCAGTATCAAAAGTGCAAAATATGTACCTAGTTTTCAGTCCTACTTCTCAGCCTGCGTTAGTGTACTCGTTCCCGGCAGGCTTTCGGTGAATGGCAGAGGGGAGGCGGGCAGCCACTGCCCCCACGCTCGCTCCATGGAGGAGTTTTGGTACAACCTTTAGTCTGGGGGGGCTGTATCCCTTCGCTTCAGCTTCCAAGCGGTGTGCGATCGCTCAGAATCGACTCGAGTAGTGCACTAGGACTGAATTGCCTCAATCTTTGGATTACGAACCACCACGTGCATAACAGACTCGCGAGTGTGTTTCGCTGATGATACGTTATGAGATGGGTCGAGCGGCGCTGGGGGTTGGAAAATGATCAGGGGGTGACGGCTCGCGACTGCTGGGAGAGGGCAGACAGACCTGGGGCCCAAGCAGCCTCCGCCCGGGCTGTTCTACAAGCAAGCAGCCAGTGCTCCACCATGGACGCTAAAGCGAACTAAACGAGGGGTTTAGAAGAGTTTGGCGTTTGCTTCAGCCCGCGAAAGAAGTTTTTTCCAGAAAATGGCGACACAAGCTGAGTTAGTCTGACCTGGATAAAAGCAGCGAAGGGCAGAGTTACAGCTGAGCGGGAGCTGAGCTCCCGTCCGGCCGCAGCCGGCAAGGGTGGAGTGCTGCAAGCACTCCTGAAACAAAGCTCGGTCTAGAAGGGGAGGTTACCCGTGCTAAAAAGAAAATTTAAAAAAGGATTCCAGCAGGTGTGCAGCACAGGAACTGTATTTTAAAGGCCATAAAGCCTTTTCTTCGTATTTGGGGCAAGGCTGAATTCCCTCGCTGTAGCACAACTAGGCACTTTTTTTAATGTGTCAAGGGTTTTCTCCTGGTTTCTGACTAGCTGAAGAGGCAGCAGAGACCCAGAGAGTATTTTTTTTCCCTTTTGCAAATGTTTAAAAATTTATGCAGCGCCTTCCACTGGGCTAGAACTTATTCTAGCCAGGTCCTGCGTGGCAAGCTGTGGGAAAAGCACAAGAGCGCTACGGCGATTGCTCCAGCCAAATGAGAATAAAGTCTAGCAGCATCAGGCCAGAGTTTCGTTTCCCCTCCCGCTCTATTTCAGCAGTACGTGTGCCTCGGAGCTCTCCGGCAGGGAGAAGACCTCGCCTTCCTTCCTTCCCTCCATTTCAGTGCCTCGCTCATGCAGCAGCACAAGCTGCGGCCCAGAGTCCGCTGAGCTAAAATTAAGTAACCTCACATGGGGTCAGTTGGTATCATCGCAGCCTTTATTTGGAAGTACATTATACAGGGTGTTTGGGATACCTGTGGTGGTCGAAGCACACCAGTCTGCTCCCTGGGTGGGGAGGAGTGCAGCAAGCCAAGGGTCTGTCAGCAGCTAGGTCATGTAGGCAGTGAAATGACTTGAGCATTCCCGGATTTCGTATGGGATCGGCAGCTAGCTCGGAGATTGGCAGTTACTCCTCCTAACTGGCTGCTCGGCTGAGATGGGAACTAAGGCAGCAGGGGCTGAGTGAGCTGTTTAATTCCCACCACGTGCTCGGCCCAGTGCTCTGCCGTCAGGTTCAGAGCCCCACGGCAACGGCTGCCCCGCTCAGCCCCGTGCCCTGGCGGGGGCTCGGCCCCGGGGCAGAGCGGCTGGAGGGGGCGCAGCCGGGACCAGCCGGGTGGCAGCGGCTGCCCCCGAGCAGCAAAAAGGAAGAACAAGCCCCACAGGATTTCAGTCCTGGACACGAAGAGAAACCTCGTTGCTTTGCTTTATCGCTGGAGGAGTGGAGAGCAGCCGTGAGTCTGCTGCTCGCCCTTCCCTCCGCCTTAGAGGGCTGCCCTTTCCCCGGCAGTGCTGAAAGTGGCTCTTAGGATCAAGACAGCTACAGCAAAGCGTAAGCCACACCCTGTGCTTCACACCGACCTGTGAGTTCAAAAAGACAACAAACCCCCAACGCAAACAAACAAAAACCCAAGGCCTGCGTGTTGAGAAACAAAAGTTTGTGGCAAGAAGGAAACAGGTGAGAGGCTGAACCCAAGCATCTTAAACCCATGCCTAAACCAAAAGGAGTTTCGCACTAAGCGATGGTCTGATGATACAGCACTTCTGGGACAACGTTTCAAGAGTACAATCATTGAAGAATTAGGTTCCTTGATACAAAGAAAGGTTGGCTTGTACTACAGATGTAAGGGTGTGTGAAAGGAGCCCGGACCGACTCCCTAGCAGCTAGGTAGAGTTTCTGTTACACAACTACTGGCTCAGAGCAGCTCACGCCTACAATCTGAGGACACAAAGTTATGGCTCTAGGATACATCATCTAAAATCGACAGAAGCAGAAAGGCATCTGAAAAATCAATGTGACATTTAAATGGCTCAACACCTTTACAGTATTTATGGCCGTGCAAAACCCCTTCCCTGCCCAGTTATGGTTTAGCTGGTGAAGCTGGACGTGGAACTATGACACGAGGAGCATGAAACATGCAGATCGCCTACTAACCCACCCTGCAGGTGAGTCCCAGCTACAGGTTTGCTACGAGGGAGACGCTCCCGCCCGTACTCTAGATCACTTACCCCGGGGAAAGCCGATAAAGTGCGCCTGCCTGGTGGGAGGAGGCCTTTCGGAAGGGCAGGGCCTGGGAGGGGCTGCAGGGTCTCGCCAGCGTTACACCAGGCACCGTGGGCGAAGCACACGGGGAAGGGGAGAGGCAGCCACGACCCGACCTGCGTCACCGGCCGCGGGCGGTCCGGCCCGAGTCACCGCGGCGGAGGAGTCACGGGTTTTTCTTCAACCGAGGCAAAAGGAGAGATGGAACGGGGGCGACTCGGGAAGCAGATGCGGCAGGACACGAAGGGAAAAAACGGATTTCTTGGCTCTTACAGCGTCCAAACGCACGACGAGTTGGTGGAGGGAATTTCGGCGCGCTTGGCTGCGCTCTGGGGCTCCGGACGCGGGGAGATCATTTTTCTAGTTGCCGGCCCTAGGCGAGTTCATCTAAAACCTAAGGTCCATTCGTCACGCTCGTCTGTGTATTCCTGGAAAGAGCTGTCCCTTGTCATCTTCATAAAAAGTTTGTCTATTAGAATCTCTTTAAAATCCCTCAGTCTAGCGCGGGCCACGAGGGGATATAGAACCTCTGTAAGGAACCCTCTAGGAGACGTTCCATCCAAAAGGACAATTTGTGTAATTTGTTTTTAATGGATCTAGATCCTGGGCTGCAGGAGGATTTCCCTCTGGCTTCCGTGGGTGGCGAGGAATCGTAATCCTCACACGATCCCAGGGTTCCCCCCTCATCCCCCGATCTGTGAGGCTTAAAGAGGCAGAAGTATTTCTTGTGGCCGTTCAGAGCCAGGACATAGCCCGTGTAGTCACGCTCGAGGAAATGCTTGTCATACTGGTTTGGGATGGGGGCCGCATCCTGCGCGAACTCTAACAGGTACTCCAGCCATTCTCGGTGCTTGTCCAGGCTGAGGAAGGAGAAATGAAGAGAGCTGCTCCTGGGGGAAGAGCAGAGGAGAAGCAGGATTAGCTCATCTCCCGCATCAGGCTGGATTCCTACTGGGCAGGTAAGCGTTTGTAAACAAGGGCAGGCTCAGAGCTATGTTGCCACAGCTCCTTTTTTAACCCAGTTCGGCACAGGTGACAATTACGTGCCGTGCAGCACTGTTGTCCTCTCTATTCGTTACAATGTGGGTACAGCCAAAGCGGCAGCAGCGCCAGACCTGCCCGGCCACCCCCACCAAGTACAGCCGGGAAAAGCTGCTCGGTTTTCAGTGGCTCATTGCCACTACTGCGCGCAGAGGCTGCCCTGCTCGCCAGAAGCATTCCCTCCCGGTGATCGAGGCAACACCGCTCCTAACTCATCGTCAGAGCAGCATTGCACAAGTTGTTAAAACAGTAACAGAAACCCAGGAGAGGGCCCCAACCTACCCTGTGAACGTGTAGACTTCCAGGGCAAACTTCTGGAGGAGGATGGTTTTGGTTGAGTTGGACAGGATCAAGACCACGTTCATGTGACCCGGCCTCAGGCGTACCAAGTTACTGTTGTAGTTGATGTCCGTGAGCTCAGTCACCTCCACAAAACCCTTTTTGGGAATCCTGCTGCAACAAAACAGTGACCCAGTGAAAGGGGAACAAGGGACTGGGAGCAACTGAGGATGGGGAAACCATGAACTCGTTCCCCACCCCTGCACGCTGAGCCATCCCTGTGCCTGCAGCTAAAGCCAGCTTAATTGGTGCAATGGAAGAATTTGATCTTCCTCAACGAGTCAGCCAGGCCTTTACCGTTCCCCTGAGGATGTTGTCTGGGGCAAACTCAGTGGGAATCGCTTAATCACTAAGTTTGTGCAGCCCTGTCCTTGCTGGCCTGGCTCCTACCCACCTCGCTGTGCCTGCGCAATGAGTGCGGTATCTCTCGCAACTTTGGCACTTCTCTGCTGCCCACCTAACACTCTCTGCGTGCTCTCTCTCTGCACAGATGCTCCCCAAGCAATGCTTCAGCAGAAAACGTTTCTGGAGAAATTAGAGAGAACCTGTTACTCTCTTTGCTGAAGCTTGCGTCGTTCTTCTCGGTCTTTGCGGCGGTTTCTTCTTTCTCAGAGGGTGGAGAGTCTCGTGTATCACTCGAATCGCTGCAAAGGAAGATTATCTCGTGTGTGCTTAAGGCACCAGATTGGACTGAGGTGCTGTTGGCTGGACTGTAAGATCCCCGTAGGACGTTTTGGCGTGCACTCACCTGAAAGCCTGAACAATAACTGTGCCAAAGAGAATGAAGAGCGCAGAGAAGAGCAAGGACAGCAGCGGCATCATTTCTCGCCTGAGGGGAAGATTTGCAAACAGCAATCAGGTCCGCGAGTTGTGCGGTTTCTGCTCAAACTTCAGTTCCTGTCTACCTCAAGTAATACCATGCAGTTGCCCCAGAAACTTGGCTCATTTCCTGGGGTCTTAAAGAGGATTACGATTTTGAGTGCTGCCCTGCTCCCACCCGGAAGGAGAAGGACCAAAATGGATCCATTTTAAAATAAGGCTATGGGGAAGCCATGAAAAACAATTTGTGTTTTCAGGAGCGTAATGTCCACGCTCAGCCTCAAGGCCAAAGTACCCGTACTCGAGGCAGAAGCTGATGTCCCTGTGGAGTCCCCGCTCTCCACCTAGATCTCGAGAGAATACAGGCACCTCTGTGTTTGGATATGGTCTCAATTCCTGGCAATAAGAACCTGGTTCTACTATGCATCTGAACAAGGTAACAGCAATCCTGCTCCCCATCAGGACTCGTTAACACCCAATCCGTACCAGTTACTGTGAAACAAACTGTCCCAGCAGTCTGAGATATAGTCCAGCATGGAGTAGAGCCATCGGATAAGGAACATCTGTTTAAAAAGAAAAAAGCAAATTAGAAACCTGCTATCCAGAGCCCTGACAATACTACCACCCCTTAAACAGAACCCCCGGCCAAATCAGCTCTGGAGCATGCCATGAGCTTCCTTCCACAAGTAAGACAACTTGCAAGAGTCTTGCCTCGGTATTTTGAAGTATAAATAATCCCCTTGAGTGACCACAATGGGACTGCCCGTAACAGTAACACAGTTGTTAGGCAGCTGGAATGGCTGTGCACTTACAGGAGCGAGTTCATCATTCAAGTCTGCCAGGACAGTCTCTGAAGAGAGGAGGCCGGGGTCTGTCCTCAGCTGGTCCAGAAGGTCCAGGAGGATGAAGTTGTCCTCTTTGCTGCCCTGCCAGGCCTCCTCCAAGGTTTTATAGGCAATCTTCCCTGCGTTATTCCGTCTCTCCAAAATGACCACCTGGACAAGCCAATAACATCACAGATGTCAGAGAGGAAGGTATGCTTTACTAGGCAGATGTTATGCTTCAAATCACTGCCCAGAATTAGGTGTCAGATCAAGGTATAGCATCCTACATAAAGTGATGTGAGTTAGAATGACAGATGAAAAGAAGAAGGGAAAGAAAACAAGGAAACCCTCACAGCTGATTTTCCCCGATACTTCTCCTCATCCATCAGCAAGGCGTCCGCAAACTCCGGCTGCCGATCGTTATAGATGTGCACAAACTTCAGTGTGTCTTTTGTGTTGGCCACAGCAAAAGTCAGAAATGCCTCGTAAGCCTCAGCAAACTTATCGCCTTCTCCGGTCAGTAAGACCACACAGTGCCTAGGCAACACAGTGAGACGGAGGATTAGGAGCCATTCTGGACGTGAGAGGAAACGACCCTCCCTTTTCCCCCAGCCAGAAGGATCCTGAAGAGCCAGAAATCCAATCTGTTGCTTCCGGACAGGCTGCTCCTGCCTTCCATGGACTCAGCTCTCCAGCCTGTCACCCTGTTCCTCCTCCCTTCCGCCTGCACTCTGCCCCAGGATATGCCTCGTGAAGGCGGGGAAACTATCAAATGATGCAGATACCCAGCAGGATCCAATGCAGTCGTTTCCCTTCTCCCTCAGAATCAAACAATAGGTGGCTTTTAGGAGCCTTGGGGAACAAAATGGGGGGGATGTGTCATCCATGGAGCCTTACTTTCGCTGACGGTGAGACTTCTTCACAGGACACAGCTCCTGGAACAGCCTCTGGTTGGTGAGTCTGGCCACCATGAGGAACTTATTCTGGGAAAGGAAGTCGTCAATGAGCTGCTTCTTCATATCTCGTGCCTGGCGAGGACAAAGAAAGCAGAGGTCAGAACTGAGCAGGATGAGGAGTAAAGCTGTTGCAACGTTCTTGTCTGAAGCCTGGGGAAGGCTGCCAGCTATCAGTGTCCTCGCTGAAATCACCTGAGAAGTTTTGAGGCCCTGAGACTGAGGAGGGACCTGCTGCCACCCTCCTCAAAAAGTCAGACACCATAGCTGAAACCTGCTGAGCTTCCTCCCTCCTAATGGTCACTGCCTCTGCGGAAGCCTGAGTCTGAGCTTGCGATGAGAGGCTGGTTAGTGGTGCATTTCAGAGTAAAGAGCATTCGCTCTCAGCTCAGTCAGAAAACCTCGGCCTTCATTTCACATGAGCTCTCGGAGAGGGCTCAGAGCAATACCTGCACAACATCAGCGGGCCTGTTGATGTGCTCCTTGAAGATCATCATGGTGGGAGTGTAGACGTTGATGTTGTACTGACTGGACAACTGTTCAGTGCCTCGAAGTCCGACGTACACATAACCAAAGGAGAAGTAATCACGGTATGCAAAGGCAGTCAGCTGGATGGGAAGAAAGCACCGGTGTGTGTTTACATTACAGAGCAAACAACATTTTCTCCCCCGAGTGCCTGAGGTGACTTTGCTTTGAGAACACCTCCTGCTGTTTAAATGTCACTGGGCATGTGCTGCAAGAGG